CAAAACTACGATATAACGTTTTATTTATAGTAGACGTCTCGAATGAGATGATCGCGGTTGCATAAACTTATTCAGTCGGTACGATAAATTTTCCGCTCCTTCTTATCTCTCATTCCGAGATGATGAGAATGATTTACGAATTCTCTTCATTCTCAATTATATATAAATCATAAATGATAAATCATAAATAAAAATATAATTAATCATATAATTAATCGTATAATAAACGTACGTATATCGTTAAGTATAAATTTATCTCGATCGTAATAATAAATAACAAAAAAAAAAAAAAAGAAAAAAAACGAATGTTATTATTCCTTAAGCGAGCGGGGAAGCGGGAAAAAGGGAGGGGGAGGGAGTAAAAAAAGTCAGCCATTAAATAATATTTAAAAGATAAAGAAAATTGATAAAGCAGAAAACAAACAGAAATGAAAAAGGAAAAAAGTAGCATTAATTTTTTCTTTCTTTTTTTTTTTTGTCTTGCTTTTTTCTTTTTGTTCTTTCCTATTAAGTCTTTGATTATTACGAGAGATTAGAAAAGAGATTTCGTTCCGGTCGGTGAAGCAGTCAGGGCAAACACATTTTATCCGGTTATTTCATGTGTGGCTATTTCACGCGGTAGGTATGGCGCGACGCGGCATTGCTAGCGCGGCACGGAAACCGCCGGAAGGGAAAGACGAGAATCAGGAAGCAGTTTCGTCTTTGGTCTTTTGCTCGGCAAAGCGTGGACGTTGGAAGGCGTCGAGTGACTCTTTCACGGAAGTAGGAGCACACGGATATCTTCTCGTCCAAGTTGCCTTTAACCGCATGTGTAGCCGCACAAAACACGTTAACACCACTTTCGTACCTTCGTCCTGATTCGTACTTTTTCCTTCGTACAAATTAATTTTCTCTTAAGCGGAAGAAATCTTATTAAGCCTACGATGACGACGACGACGTAAGAAAAAAAAAAAAAAAAAAAAGAATAAGAATAAGGGGAAAAAAGAAAAGGTGGAAGGAAAAGTATGTAAATTGATGCGCCTAATTAGAAACAGTTTCTGTTTTACTTATTGTCAGATGAAAGTAACATTATTTTCAAGATCCAATCAAATGACAGGAATAATACAATCATTAAATCGTATAATGATTATTTAAAACCAAATTAGAAACTTTCTGAATCATTAGTAATTCATTTCTTTCTGTCTCTCTCTCTCTTTCTCTCTCTCTCTCTCTCTCTATATATATATATATATATATTCGCTGTCGGCACATTAATCTCGGACATTAATCATTCTTGCTATCTAATTTAGAAAGTATCACTGATATCTTCCATTAGGGTTGATCAATTCGCAAAACGAATTAGTAGATCAAGTAATCCGTAACTTTATGTTACGTCTTTTCGAGATTTACTTTTGAGTTAAATAATGAGTAATCCATATATTCCTAGTAAGCTTTATATAACTCTTGTTAAGTATCTTTATGTCTCCTCGACGATTGCGGACGATTTCTAACTTGGAAATATACCACGGACGATTAGAAATCCGGATTAGATTGCGTGAATTAGTGGGCATCTGGTCTGCTCGTCTAGCAGACTGTTGTTTCTTCTTCTTCCTCTACTTCAACGTTCATATTTTCTCTCTCCCTCTCTCTCTCTCTCTCTCTCTCTCTCTTTCTCTCTTTCTTTCTTTCTTTCTCTCTCTGTTTTTCTCGTGCAGTGATGCAGGCTATTATAGGATAGAAGTTAAACTCTAATAGGGATCATGAAAATAACTTATCAGGGATAACTCGTATCCCTCGGCCGTCCCCACTTTCACCCTCCCATCTCACCGATATAAAGTTCAGGCTGATATGTAGAAAAATAAATTTTTTATTTTACTTTATTTTATTTTATTTCATTTCATTTCATTTCATTTCATTTTATTTTATTTTATTTTATTTCACATTATTTTACATCCTATATTTTATTTCCTTCTAATCAAAAAGCGTTAACGTTAATGTCCATCGAGAACATGAGTAAAATACAGTCATGACCAATGTCCGAGGGACTCCGTGGTGCAAGTGCACTGCACCAAAGTGATTTAAGTTTCCGTTCGAACACGTGAAATAACAGGCAACGAGCACGAGCTCTAAAAGGAAGAAAGAAAATAGGAAGAAGAAGAAGAAGAAGAAGAAGAACAAGAAGAAGAAGGAAGAAGGGTCTCTTACTCTTGAAGAAATATCGGAATAGGTATAGGTACCGTGACCTAAACGTTTATGGGTTCGAGTTCAAAGAACGTTACTTTCCAGAGCGGAAATATTTCGATGGTATGATTTACGAGAACGAAAAACGAACGGATGAAGATGATTTAAAACGGTTTCGTCAAAAAAGAAAGAGAGACAGAGAGAAAGAGAGAGAGAGAGAGAGAGAGAGAGAGAGAGAGATGCGATCTTTTTCTCGATCTTTTGCTAGGAACTTTGCGATACATCGACGTTACTTTCAAGCTATCGTTAACCCGTAACGATAGAGAGAGAGAGAGAGAGA